TAAATCTGCAATTTCTTAGGTCCCTATTAATAGTCATTACTTGAAACTTGCCTCAGGTGAGATAAGAACTTAGAGATAAATGAGAGTATTTTATTTGAATTTTATAATATACATAATATTACATTTGCAATCACGATTCAGTTGGAAAACTCACATCTGACTCTGAATTCAAACCTGAGTATCTCACCTTGAAGCAAATTTCAAGTTTCGACTATTAGTATGAACCTTAATTATTCACTTGGTGTTCAAGCGTCTAACGACGAGAAACATTAATCGCGATATGTTCAAAGTAAAAATGATATACCGCGTAGGACAATTCGTCGATCGCCAATCGACGTGCCTGCATCTGACCAACAAATTGATCTGTGTCAATGTATTTTTATGTATTCGCAGAGCACACGTCGATCGATAAGAAACACTATTGCGAATCGGTGAACAAATTTCGCGGGTGATCGGAGAATGCTCGCCAGTCGGGGTCTTCCGCGCGTTGTTAATTGAGGAAGGTTAAGCAATGCAAAGAGAGTAAAAGGGAAAGTGTAAGGGAGACAGAGGCACTACCGTGAGATGTACTATCTTTTTTCTTCCTCTCTCACGAGGATGCGTTTCGAGACGTCTCGTCATCGATGTCCCCTTGAGACTTGGACGTGTTCCGCAATAGTCGGGAACAAGTGGCGCGTATACTTTCGCCTTATCGCAGAATTAGGGGATGCGACCGCTCTCTCTCGATGTAACTTGAACAATTCCCCGCCAGTGTTCGACTAAGATCGGGTATAACTGATTAAAGCAACATTACATAACGCGTAACGAACGATGCACACATGCATGAATGCATGCAGTCAACAATGCCTGTCCTCGTCGTTGGAATGACGTGCGAAACGTAACGAGCAAGTTTATTGAATAGTGCGGTGCGCGGGCGCACGTGCACTTATTGTGCGAAAGTGCACAATGCGATATCGATTGTTCCGCGTTTATACTTTAACTGTTAAAGTAAATTTTAAAAATAGAAAAAGAAAACACTTTTACTACTCTTCGTGCGTGTCAATATTTGACGATAGCGCACAGAGCTTTTATTGCATTTTTACGCAAGCGCTCTGAAGATATAGCGAAGCGTTTATCTTTGAATTTTTTTTATCTTCCGTTATGTCTTGCAGTTTTTCGAAGCGTCCGTTTCGATAGAAATATCGAGCTTGCTTTGCCGGAATATCGAGTCCGTCCCCTAAGCTGCGGTGAAGTATTCGTAGAAAAGATACCTGTTCTTTGTTACGAGCTATTTTACAACGCGTCCAAAAGTCGCAGGAGTCGGGGAGAGCGCACTCGAGACGTTTCCTTAGATCTGTGAATTTAGGTACTAACGTTGGTGTTAGATAATCGTGTGCCGTGTGCCGAGAAGTATTTATATTTCGTGCAGTCACCTACATACACGTTTGTCGTTGGTTTGCTGTTGTTTTGCCAACACGTGAAAGATTTTTTCTTGGATTGTTGCGTACGTTTTCCGCCTTATTATTGATACCACAATGAGAGCAACGTTACCGTTTTCACATCTCCCGACTTGCTTCCTTCCGCCTTTCCTTCTTTGAAAATTTCCCGTCTTCCAACTGGAAGTGTCCAACGTAACATACGCACGCACGCACGCACATATTCATGTATACGCATACTCACATTCTTACATTTACTCGTGCATACTGATACCAGTTGCTGATAAAGAAAAAAAAATATACGTTCTTTTCTTCTGCAATAAAATATATAGAATTAATACTTTGCGTTCTGTATATAATTAAATATCTCGAAATGTGTTAGACACTCTTCAATTTTCATCCAAACATTCTGACGATAAAATCTAAATGATAAGAAGAAGATAAAGAGAACATTAAAAGCGTAATGCAATGTTTCCTGTTGATGGTTTTAATTGGATCACGCTTCTCGATATAAACGCCGCAACTGGCACATGATCAGAATGCACTCGACACGCATACCCATACACACATACACGGTGTACTGGAAGACGCAGGTTTCTCTCAGTGGATGAACTCGCCATTGAATGTGGGGTTGATCTTATCTCGGTGAAAATTTCATGCAAGACCTAATTACAGAATGATTTATTATCAGAAGCTGATGGAATTTGGGAGACCTCTGCTGCGAAAGTAGCAAAATTTGATTTCTCAATTACCGCTGAGCGCAGTTTTTTTTCCAAAGGAATTTTAATTCTTGGCGCAATTATCAAGATGCTTGTAATCTTGGTAATTAGAAATTGTTAGGTTCGGCAAGGAATCCATAACTGAGAGAAAGTGCGCGATTTCCGACACACCTCAGACCGTTTCACTGTAAGTTCCGAGCTTGCATATCTCGAAGAAATGACACGGGAAGGAATATTTTGATTTCATGGACATTACACTATCAGATCAAAGTTTGATTACTTTGATTTCGGAGATATGCGATTTCGGAACTCGAGACCTGCACTAAGGAGATGCCATTTGGAGACTTTACTAACGAATTATTGACTGTTTTCTACAAAATTCATGTAGTATTGGTTGCACAGAATTACAAATGTCTCCACACAATGAAAACACGTACAAAAATTAATTAATTAATAAAATAATTTAACAATTGCTCAACATGCAACAAAAATAATGCAAAAATTTTTTAAATTGTCACATCGAGCTATTAGTTAGTATAACTATTTTACTGATGCAAAAGTTTCGTAGCTTGTATATACCGTATTTGCTCTGTTCAGGAAAACTTCAAAGAACTTTGCTGCATGCACAGAAAAATATATATACTGTTTTCAAGTAAATATTATTTGTTTCAAGTATTTTAGAAGTTTACATAAGTTTAACTTAAGCCCCATCAAATTTATTCAAAATACATTCTGAATCCTAATAAATTTAGTATTTCAATAAAAGATGTTAAATTAAAATACTCAATTTATTAGATGTTAAATTAAAAAACTCAATTTATTTCTTTTGAATAAATGATAGTAAGCTTTTCTAAAATTTTTTATGTGATTACATTTTAAGACTACCATGAAAAATATATTCTTTGTTGAAAAGAACTATTGCTTAACAGAAAAAAGTAAACTAAATAATCACTCTTAGAGACACTAGCCTTTATTTTGAATCCTCTTTTCTTAAGTGGAATTTTTCTGTGTACCTTTACAATTGAATTTAGAGAAGATAAAAATATATATAAAAAAAGTTTACATAAAGATCTTTGGCTATGCGTGGCTATATTTCCCACTAAATATGGTAACACAAAGCAGCATGTGTTTATATAAGATCTATATGTACAAGAAATACGGTAGCGTGTTAGGGTTCATCTGACATATTGTTTAGACTGTCACCTCTATATTACCGACGTTTTTGGAGCCTGTCATCCACTTTGGCATCCCCTTAATAGCTGTTACTTGAGACTCGTCTCAGGTAAAATATTCAGATTTGAATTTAGAATTAGATGCGAGTTTTTCAGCTGAATCACTATTAATCAAATGTATAATGTCGTATATATTGTACAGATAAAAGACTCTAATTTAACTCTAAATTCAGATCTGACTATCTCACGTGGGATAAGTTTCAACTAATGACTATTGATACGAGCCTAAGGACCGATTTTCCAATAGTAGGTCAAACTTAGGTTCAAGTTTAAACTTTGTTCCAACAATGTGCTTGGTATGTTTGGGCAGAGTTTAACCTTAAATCAAGTTTAAACTGCGGAAAACCGACTCTTAGAGACACTAGCCTTTATTTTGAATCCTCTTTTATCGGTGAAAGCGCCTCTAAATGTGCTCATAAGCCAATCATAAGAAAGCTCATAAGTCACATTTCGAGGTACTTTCATCGACAAGAGAGAATTCTGAATAAGAGCCACTACGTACACATAGTCTCACGCACCGACCGATATCGAGACGCAGAAGCGCACCTTGGTGCGGTCGCTCGTATGTCACGTATGCGCGAAAATCGATTGAAGAGAACTCGGTCCCTCGCTCACTCTGCCGTTTGGTGTTGCGTGCTTTTGGTGTTGGTAGAGAGCTGCTCGAGAGCGAAAGACCGTCGAGCCGAGAATTTTCTTGTAGCGCGAAGCGCAATATAAAGAGAGTTTGTTTTCCCGACACACTCTGGCACACACTCTGCGTGCCAAGGGATCGGCGGTGTAGGAACGTACGTGCGTATACACGCGAACACGAATTTGTCGATTGCCGCCATGTCGATTGCCGGGACATCAACGATCGTCGTCTTCGTTCACTGAACGATCAAGTAAGAGACGAGTGGACGACTCTTCGAGTATCTCTCAAATTTTCACCGACGATCTATAATCGACATCGCGAGCCGTTCATCCAGACACGTTACACGTGGAGAATTTTCGCACACATATACACATCCACACACACACATACACACACACGTACAATCACGACATATATTCGCTACGTTACCTCTGTTCCTTCCCAATTCCATCAAGTCCCACCAAAACAGACAAAAGAAAGGAGAAGTATACGACTGGAGCGAACGAGACCTGTCGGGTTCATTCGCTGCACCTTCTCCGATCAAGGCAGGTGCACCGAACATTGTCCGATAGCTCTCGATCGTTCCGAAATAGGTGTATTTGTTTGTAAGTTATTGTTCCGCGGACTAGACGGCGTACGTTGCATTCAACTTCTGACCTTGGTGAATTCACTCGTAAAAGTAACTTGAACGAAACAGATCAGCTTAATTGATCGTTAATTAATCGTCACGCTTTTACATTATACGTTCGTGAATTCTATTAATTTCTCCCCGCGAGGAAGCACGAGATATGTCGGACGAGCTTTTTTGGGTCAGAAGTCAACGACTCGCCGTAGCATACGCGATCTCTCCTCGGTCCAGGATGGACGAGGAATCTCGCGGCCGTCGTCAGTCCGCCGCAATGAGAATTCACAAACATTCGCCGCATTGGGCCTCCGAGTGTCACCGCGTCCCACGGGACACCGCACCGACATCCGCGAACTAACGCACCTTCTCGTTTTGCAGAGTACCACCGGGCTACGTGTACCAATCGCCCTACCTGGCGGCCGCAGCGCCAGGTGGCCTGGTGCCACTTCCGGCGACACAATTGAGCCATGCAGCCGCCGTCGCCGCGGCGTCGCAATTCTACGAGTACCAGAACGCCGCAGCAGCGGCTGCGAGTTACCCCGGCACGTCGTACAACTTCGCGGAGGCGTACCCCTACACCAGCGCGGCCGCGGCTGGTACGTGTTTGAATAGTGTCCAGGGCAAGGGTAGCAACAGCTCGATGCACCACCACCAACACCAGCAGCAGCAGCAACAGCAGCAGCAGCAAAACGCTCCTCCCGCGGCGCTGGCACAGCAACAGCTGGAGAAAGCTCTCCTGCCGCAATTTCTGCCGTCCGTGCTGCGTGGCTACGGTAGAAACTCTCTCAGTGATCAAGAGAGGAGAGGAGAGACGGAATGGGGAGAATTGCACCCTCCTCGAGATTGATCGTGTAGCGCTTCACTTGCAAGACTCGCAGGCTGAGTTCTCACAGGATCCGGTTCTCTCGCGCGCGCTTTCTCCCTCTCTCTCTCCCTCTCTCTATTTCTCTGTGTGCACCGATGTCGTGCGACACATATATATATATATATATATATATATATATATATATATATATATATATATATATATATAT